TGCTCCAAGAAATCTGTTTTCCCCACTCTGTGCTGATTGCTTCGAAACATAAGGAAACCATGTGGGACTGTGTGTAAAAGGAAATGAAAAGGAGAGGTAACAAAGTGCCTGCGCTTACAGTAAGGGACTGCGAATGGCTCTTGGATCGCCTTCTGTCCCTAACCCTTGTGCTCCAGCCAATTTAATTTTTTCATGATGAATCAGTACTGGGAAGCTACTTGGCTTCTTGGCGGTTGTATTTTTTTCCCCTGAAAAAGCAGTAATTCAGTGATCAATTATTGTTGTTGCTATTATTTCTCAATTCCATTTTGGCGACTGTGGTGTTCAGTGATTCATTTTTTCCTAAAAATAAGTCTTTAAAGCCCCATTTAAAACTAGTGGTATGATGGCAGCTGCAAGCTGGTGTGGTGTTAATTTTGGAAGAAAATAGACAGAAAAAAAAGACAAATCATGTAAAAAATAGCCAGCTGAGAGAATGGCAATAATTAGCTGAATTCTGAACATATTTCTCCCGTTGTTATAGGGAGAAAGTATTGGATACTTTTACACTAAGTTTTCTCTGTTTTTTATAATTGTTTTGGGACCATGGTTGAATGGCAGAGCTTGAGTTTTGAAAAGCTTTCCAAGAACTGTTCCAAAATCTCCTATGACTGATGCTCTTTAGAGCCACAGGCACACTTGGCAGAGAGCATGGGGTGTTTCCGGCGCTGGGTCTGGTCCAAACCCCACGTCTGCACTGATTTAATAATGGAGAGGTTTCAGCAGCCGGGCTGGTGCTGATGCAGGATGCCTGGCCTTGTGCAACCGACAGCCTGATGCTGGGCTGACTGGTGCTGATGCAGCCAACTGCCACGGGCCCTGCAAACACCATCCACTCAACCATCCTCCCCAGTGTGCTACCACCCAGCAGCAGCTCCTTAAAACCAGGCACCAGGGGGCAGAACGATTACCGGGAGGAGCCAATATTTCCAAGTGGTAATTTGTTCATGTGGCCACTCACTGAAGAAATCTACTGATAGCTTTACCAGACGGTAAAAATACACCTGTAGAATCACTTATTCTTCTCTTTGCATGGGAACAATGCTTATTCTCCATTTAAATGTATTTTTCAGGACAGCCACATTGGTTGGAAGAGTGGAAACAGCACCAGCGCATGCAAACTGATACGGGTTCGTCTGGGAAACCTGCTGCTGCTGCTGTAGATTTATAGCGATCAGGCTAGCGTAGCTCACCCCATGCAGGGATTTGTCTCATCTTGACCGGCAGACAAACAGGTTTCCTCTCCAGAGGAAGGATTATACAGCAAAGCCTTTAAGTGGGACCAAGTCCTGCAGGTGGATTTCCCTGGGGATGGGGAAGACGCAGTATCTCCCCTCTGCCCCTTGCTGTGGTACACAGAGGGCTTGGCAGCCCCTCCCCAGCCCCATGAAACCACCATAGGGATTTTCTGCTGGTGCATGTGTGTCATCCAAGGGCTACGGCCGTGCTGGTTAACTCCGCCAGGTCACAAGCTGTCTACTGGCGTCAGTCTCCCTTGCTGCCGTTGTGGGTGTCAGCTGCCCCTCTGGCCTGGCTGCAGAGCCGGCACAAGCTCTGCATCACGTAGCTTGGCTAAACCAAAGGTGTTTGTCACCTGGGTTACTCTGCTCCCCTCCCACCTCTCACATGTGCTGAAGGACCAGATACTTTAGTGGTGCAAATCAGCACAGCTCTGCTCCAGTCACTGGAGTTGTGCCAATCTCTGCTCATTTCCTGCTGAGTCTCTCATCCCAGGGTGAAGGATTTCCCTGCTCCAACCCATGCAATACCTCTCCCTTAACTGTCAGGACAGCCATGAGCAAGCCCCACTGAATCATGTGCTGCTTCAGGCTTTGTAGCTTTTGGACTGAGAAGGATGCTGAGGTTAGCCTCAGGCAACATTAGCAAGCTTGGGGAGCACTTGCTGTTTCTAAAAAAAGAAAAAAGAAAAGAAAAAGCCTGTTTTGTCTGTGGTCAGGTGCCCTTAGCCAGGGAAATCTTTGTGCTGGGACAGTTTCATTGCACATGGCAAAGAGGAGCCAGGAGGGAAAGCTGAGATGCACACAGCTCACGAACCGCCCTCTGAGATGGTGGTAGCCCTGCTGGTGAACCTCTCTGGTACAAGCAGGAGTGGAACAAATCTTCATGCTAAATACCATCTCTGTTACTAATACTGAAGAGCCTCCGTGCAACTCCAAAGCATGAAATTTATGATTTCCCCCCCATAACCTCATCAGGCTCCTTTCCCCTCCTTAAAACAGTTCACATCTCCCCCGTGTCCTCTTGGTGCCTTATTCCCCTTCTCCTGGGTCTTTTCCCAAGGGTCTGGCTCTTTAGGAGGGAGGCTGAGCATAACTGTTTGCTCACCCTGGCCACTGCCCCCAAGCCTTGCGTCCCTCCCTGCTGCATGTCCCCCAGCCCCCCTGTCATCCGGTGTGGCGACGAGGAGCAGCCCCCCATCAGGAACAGACGGATGTGACATTTCCCTTCAGCCAAGCACCTCCATCTTCTGAAATGCCAGAGCTGCTGAGCAATTACCCAGTGCACAAAGCAGGCCTGTGAAAGGCAGTTAACTAGGGACACACTGACAACAAAATGCCGCTTGCTCCCTCCTCCCCCTGCCTCCCACAAGAGCCTTTCATGCATTTTAAAGTGTGATCTCAGACGAAGTTCCACTTTGCATGTGTGAGGCCAGAGCCACAAAGACACGCTGGCAAGGGGACTGAAGTCACTCAGGGACACAAGGGTCCCTGCAACAAAGGAGCTTGGAAGAGGGACTCCAGAAATGGCTTTGGAAGAGAAAAAAATGGGTTTGCCCCATGAGAGCCTGCAGCCAGCCTGGATCTCACCCAGAACTGCCCCCATGTCAAAAGTGGAAACCAGAGGCACCAGCCATCCCTCCCCACGTTGGGATGTGTTACACCTCAGATGGAGAAGGCTAGAAATGGAGTTAAAACCAGCAGGGCCACAACTGTGCTTGACTTTTGTGCCTCCAAGGGAGATGTGGGAGAGTGGAGGGTGCTGCAATGCCATCGTCCCTCCATGGCTGCCTGTTTTCCACAGTGTTAAGACTCCCTCTAGCCCTGACTACCCAGAGCAACTTTCAAGCAGCATCATATCCCAAATCCCACCAGAAAGGCATGAAATTGGACCCGGACACTGTCCTGTCTGGACAGAGGGAAAATGCAGTAAATCCACAACTGCACCCCTGCTTTTAATGGTGCACAGAACTTCTCCTTGGGAACCAGCCACCTTTGGAAAGAGGAATACCCAACCTGTACCCTGTGGCTTCCATGTTGCCCCTTGGCAGCAGCGAGCCTGTGCCCAGCTGCAGCCAGAATCAACAGGGACGTTGCTGTCCCCAGCAGTGCTGGGGCTGCTGGCACACAGCATCCTGCACTGACAGTCAGCCAGCCACGCTTCCAGCCTCCTCCGTCTGCCAGGATATGTGGAGCCCGCTGAGCCCAGCTGGGAGGGATGCCTCCATGGCACAGTGAATGCCCCTGGTGAATCCCTGGGGCTGACTCCCCTGCGCGCCCTGAAAGCAGCCTATCTGCCTGCAGTCTGTCTGGCCTGGCCTGGCCCAGACCACCAGTGAGGATAAGAAAGCAGCAATTGCCTGCAGGTCTTGGCTTCAGGTGATGGAGGGAAAGAGAAAGAAACCCTTAGAAGGGGAGTTGTACCCCCCTAACCCCAGGCAAAACCAGTTCAGCCAGGTCAGGCCAGGGGTCTGGGTGGTCACCTCATCCCAGAAGCCCAAATGATAGTTTGGCACAACTAGCCCGCAGGCTCTCCTCTTGCTTACAGAGACCCTCTACCTCTCCGAGCCTCGGAGGGCCAGAGATTCCCAAAAGACACACAACTAGATACTACAGCACTAGCCAAATGGGGCTACAACAGTTAGTGGCTGCCCATAAACCCACACAGACCATTTTCTTCAATGTTTCCCAGCATATTAATGAAAATTCTGAGCCTAAACTGCACTGATTTCATACAGCTCTGTTGGCTGTGCTGCATGGGAAAACAAAAATGGTCAAGTAGACTTGCCAAGCCATGCCTTCCATTCCCTCACTCCCCATTCCATCTGCACCCTGCCCCCCAGCTCCTTAAATCTTTTACATTCAAGTAGCTTTGTGTTTCATCTGAAAAGCAACTGCTCCAAGGCACAACCCAAGGATCCAGCAGCGTCACCTGCCAACTCATCAGCTCCAACCCTTGAGCTGATCTCCCCAAAGGACAAGAAACCAGCTAAGTAGAAGAGCTACTGTCAGCCCTGGCAGCTGCCAAGCACTGCAGGTCAGCAGCAGAGGGGTTAGTTTGCAAGTTATGTTGACTTTAGCAGCTGGTGCAAGCTCCTAAGGCCAAACATTTTGAAGGGGTGCATCGTACACCTAGGGGTTGGCAGCTGGAAAAGCCAGATCCTGGGGACAGGCATCTCTGCTCAGGCGATGCCCCAGCTAAATAGCAAGATGTGATGTATAATGAGGGCTGAGATCAATTAGCAGAGATGTAAAGGAGCTAAGAAGTGAAGCAGACAGGTGGGACAAGGGTTAGACCTTGGGACCATGAACCTACCTGGAAAAACAGAAATAAATTGAGTTGGCTAGTCAAGAGAAGACCATGCTGCAGGTATGTGATGACCATCTCTAACAAGCCCTGTGGCTCAGCTTCTTGGGGAAGGGCAAGGAAGCTGATGACCTACCAGTCCCCATTTCTCACAAGCACAGAATACTTGAAAAAAGTTCAAGCACAGAAAAGGAGAACATTACTTTCCACATCGCCTAGGAGCAGGATGAGGAATCCCAAGATCAATTTGCAGCAAAGGGGTGTGGGGACAGACAACGAAGAACACCTGAAGAGGAAAGGCCATCGTCCTTGGGATCGTAAAGTTCAGCAGTACCAACCCTGAGGTGCACCAGTGGCTTGGGAACTTGCACCAGTTACAACCCCAGCCTTCTCACAAAGAACTAGAGCACACTCACCTATCCTGGTGGGGAAGATGTCCTCGTTGTTAATGAGCATCTCAATCCAGTCCATCAGCATACACATGTACTGTGGGGCTGACAGCTTGGTTGGCTTCTTGTATTTGCTATCATCCTGCCACCTGTACTCGTACTTGAGTCCACCAGACATGATAGGGCAGCTCTTTTCTGTGCAGTACTCTGACATGGTGCCATAGATGAGGTTGATGCGGTTGAAGAAGTCCACCACGTGCACGGCAATCCAGTCATTGATGCTCTCGCCAGGAGGCAGCTGCACTACTGCTTTCAGATCCAGCCCGGACTTGAGGGAGGCCTGGGCTTTCTTGTACAGCTCAAAGCGCTGGGTGCCTGGCTCAAACTTCTTTCGAGGACGAAACGTTTTGTCTTTGTTGAAGACTTGTTTGAGACACAATGCCATCATGGGCAGAGTCAGCCAGGGTGAGGGCAGAGGCTCAGCACAACGTGAAACCCAAGGATGGCGTCTTCAGGGGTGGAGGTTTCTGAGAGGATAAAGACAAATTCCAGTCACATATGAAGCCAGCTGCACGTGTGGGAACACTCTCAGGGATGAGTTTGCACCAAGACACTGGCTGGCCCTGCTGCTCTGGCAGCACATGGGGATGGAGATTTGGGGTGGGCTCCTGGCCCCTCCACACCCACTAGAGTGTCCTGGAGCAGCTGCTACCACCTCATGGAGCAGCTCCTGGCACCACAGAGGGTGAGCACCGCTACACGTGCCCCATGCAGGGCTTGATGGCAGACAATGCCCTTTGCCCCTCCTGAACATGCCAGGAGCTCATCGGGCTCCAGCCAGCCTCTTGCCTCCAGGGCTTTTATCAGTAACTGCTGCAATAAAGCGAGAGCCACGATATCAGCAGAGATCACCAGCCTGGGCAGACCCAACCTGGTGGCCCAACCCTCTCCCAGCAAAGGGGAAGTGTCTTTTTCCCAGGGATTTCTCAAATAATCCCCGACCCTGCCGTGGTGGCTGGCGAGCAATACCCTGGGGAGCATGCTGCGACCGCAGCTGGCTGCTGGTTCACACAGCCCCAGCGCCGAGATCAATAGGAAAAGGGGGGATTATTTTTGTTGTTCTGCCTCGTGTGTTTGTCCAAAAGAACAAAACACGCATCTGAAGAAGGGAAGTGGCAGCCCAGCACAGCAACACTACGTGCCAGGACGCGGCCAGCCCTCCAGGCATGCACACAATACACACAGGAGCCGTTGGGGTGGCCAGCCAATGCTCCGGGTGACTCGGTCTGGAAGTCACAGCTCAGCAAAGTGCTGAGCTCACCCCTTCCTGCCTGAGGTTAGCAATACAGATGAAGGCTGTGGTATTTCCCTTTTTTTTCCTTTTCCTCCCTGAAGCTCCAGCGGAAATCCCATCCTCCACAGGCTGTCTTGGACAGGCTGAAAATTTTGTTACCTGCACTCATCACCAGTGGTGGTAACATGAGATCAAGACCCCCTTGTGCTAAATGCTTTGCTGAGGTTTAGGGAAGAGGAGGTCCTCTAACAGCCTTCCCCTGATGGGAGGAGATGAAGAAAGAGTTAAAAAAAAAAGGAAGAAAAATATTCATGGAAAGGGGAAGTGACTTACCCAAAGTCACGTGCAGGAGGGAATAGTGCCCAAGAAAAACTTGGATGCACATTCATCATTTAAAAGACAGCTTTTAGCTAAAAGCTTGCTATATAAACTCTGTTTTGTAAACTTTGTCCTGAGCCACAGGCAGATCTTATTTTGCTCAGCAGAGACCATCTAAACATCTTGCAAGAGAAACCCTGTGCTCCCATCAAAGCCCACCCATGGGGCCATCACTAGGAAGCAGCAGGACTTAGTGATCCTCCCAAGCACCAGCAGGATCTGCCCGACGGGGATTTCTATACCACAGCCAGCATGTGGCTGTGAGGGGAAAACCCTGGTGTGGGTGGAAACTCCAGCATGAGTGCCGTTAGTGCACTAACCCTGGCCTTTCCCGCAGGTTGGAGCGTTGCTTTGCCACTGATGTGTAGCTCACGGCATGGTGGTACCAAACCCCTCCACGCTCTGCTGTACCCATGTACAACCAGACCTGAAACCATATGTTTTTAGGTGCTTTTTGCCCCATGGAGGGGATCACAGCCATCACACAATGTTATGCAGTATGATTTTAATACTGGGGTAGCTGCAAACCTTCTCCAGCTCATGTGGCTGGGTGGGATTTGAATGGCTCCAGCCCTGTTGTCCTCATTTATTGCCAAAGGACAATGAGTGAGGGATGTTTCTTGGATGCTTTTTCCTCCCCAGGCCCAAGCAGCTGGCTCCAACCACATTAAAGAGCTTTTTCCCCACTTCAAAAAAAGAGCATGAGCTCTCCAAAATGCCAACGGATGGAGGGAGTCACATCCTGACTCGTACCTGTCCCGTGGGGAAGGGTCTCTGGTACTGCAGCCCCGAGGGAGCCCCCCGAGGCCAGGGGACTCTGGGCACAGCCAGGCTGTAAAGAAGAGCCTTTATCTGGGGCTTCCCACCCTGATGTCATGTATGCAAGGCACATCCTGTTAACACCTCTTAAAAAAGCCTCCTGGGAGTTTGCTAATGCGTTAGAGTTTCTAAAGTACATACATATACATACATATATATTTCTATATAACCACTGCAGTGAGGATCCTAATCTAATAACATAGGAAGTGTTGGGATACCCTTTGGGATGAGGCATCCTGCAGGGTCTGCCAGTATGGAGGTAGGTGCCCTGGTGCTGAGCAGTGCCTGGCCCTGCAGCCAGGGAGGGAGGGAGAGGCCAGCAGCACCTCTGGTGCTTTTGCCTCCCCTCAAAGCACTTGTCACTAACTGGGTCTGCCACCAAGCCAGGACCCACCAACCAGGCTGTCCATACCCTCATACATGGATTGCTTTTCCTCTCTCTCCTGTCACCAGCCACCGGGAGAGGGCTCTGGCTGAAACATAAAGGCCATTAAAATAAGCAAAAAACCCCAGTCGTGCCCCTAATGAGCAGTCAGAATCTCCCCATCTGACAGTTGGCTGCTTCCCAGGACAGGGATGATGCAGTACCTGCTAATCCATCCTGCAGCTCCTTCACCCCCATCCCCAGCCAGTCCACAACCCCCAAAGCAGCTGAGCAGCCTCTTGGCCCAGCACCCAAAGCCCAGTGACCATCACCCCTCAGGGCTGGACAGCACCACACCAAGCCCATGTCCTCAGTCTCTCTGCCAGGTAGACAGAGGTTGAACAACTTGGTTATCCCCGTGTTACACCAGACGATCCTACCAGGTCACACAGTCCCTCTGGGTTAACATCAGTACAGACAGGGACTGGGATCTAACCCAGGAGGTTTCCCTGGGATTTCAGCAAGGCAAGCTGTGACAACAGACATTTCTCCTTGTCACCATTTCTACTGGCCTCAGCTCCGTTTGCTCTGCTCCAGGGGCTATTGCTGCTTGTAGGGTCTTCCATGCAGACAGGGTTGTTCTGGGGTGATGAGAAGCCACCTGGCAGATGATATCCCATCAAAACTGTCACTTGCAGGGGCCATCAGCAGTGAAATCAGTTCTTCATGAATATGGTGGGGACATCCCTTGTTCCTGTGCCTCACACTTCAAGTCTTCTGCAAATATTATGCCACTAACTGGGAAATAAACTCTGCATCTGATCTCCTGAAGCCAGACCCATAACTCACCCCACAGCTGCATCTCTGCATCATCTGCAACTGAATCTCTGTTACCCTGCAGCTGCCCTCACTCATCAGGCAGGTGGGAATGTGCTGCACTACCAACCAAGAAAAACACCAGTTTAAAAAAAACAAAGAGCAATGAACCTGCTAAACATCTGCCAGGTGTTTTCCTACCATGCATGTGTTAGACATTCCCAGGAACAGAGGAGCAAAACCTGCCACTGCCCAAGTGCTCAGAGCAGAGCCGTCCCCTGAGCCCGCGAGACGCCAGCGCATCACCACAGCATCTCTGCTCCCCAGGCAGCAGCACACGCTGGAGTCACGCAAGTTGTTTTGCTTTCAGGATCCTCGCCAGCATCACTACCAAATTACCAAGTCATTAAAAGGCCGTGTCAATCTTTACTGGAGAAAAATGTTCTCCAGAAATTAAATTTAACACAAAGCCAAAAACACATCCTGGGATTTATGATCTGAAAAAGCAGAGAGAGGCACCAAGCCAAAGAACAGATTTGTTTTCTACCTCGCTCCAAAGCTTTCATTGCCCAGAGAGATCAATGTGCAGGGAAAGATGTGAGCAGCGTAGGGAGGGAGCTGCGCAGAGGCCAGGACCAAGGCTTGAAATACCAGCTCTGGTCCTTGCATCTGGGGCGCTCAGATGGGATGTATCCGCTCAGAGCAAACCGGCTCTGCAAAGTCACCAGTGCCTCAGTTTCCCCTGGGGAAGACACACAGCACTCGCCCCCGCCTTCTGGGAAGAGAAGCAAAGTCCTTTGGGAATGGACCCAGGCATATCCCAAGTCTAACTGGTGGAAAAGGGCATCAGCAGCAAATGCCAGACCAGATTTTCCTGGTGTCCACCTTTATGCATCCGACTCAGCTGGTGCTCTTCCATCACTGGCCAGGATCTTAAGACAGATCACAAAAAGAGTTGGAAAATGGGAGACCTTCCAAGGTTCAGCTGTGGTGCGGAGTTCAGTTGAGCCTGATGTTCAGAGCTGTCGCATTCCTGGAAATTAGGCCATGGTCCGCTGGGGCTTAGGGAGTGACAGGAGACCCGCCCAAGTCCAAACCGCGGCTTGCACTGCCTGTTTTGGGAAATTTGAAGGGCAAGCTGCCATTCAACAAGCTTAGACAGCAGCTTCCTACGACATGACCATACACATCCCGCTGCCAGCCCATGCTGGCGGGGCCTGGACCGGCACTGTGGCAGCAGCCTGCAGCTCTCTGCCTTCGGTTCCCATGTACAGAATCAAAGCTTCCCCAAGAGGAACCTTGGCAAAGGCTGCAACCCCACTTCACCACACCAAGGTTCCCATCATGGGGTGGTGCTGGCACCCCAGGGGCTCACACATCCCTTTCTGAAGCATCTGCAAACACCCAGATCAAACCTTGTCCCACTCCCAGGAGTGGACAGTGAGTGAAGCAGGGCAGCCGCAGAGCCAGACACCTTTTCCACTGTCACCCCATGTCTCTGCCACGGACAACTGAAGGAGGATGAACAAAGCTGCTGGGTGGAAAGAGGCTGCTGCTTCCTATGGGATGCCCACGCCATGGCATGCCTGGTGCTCGCCCCCATTCACGCTCCCAAAATAGCCTCAGCTTTTCAGAGGACTGGCTACAAACCCATGTGAGCAGCCACAAAACCCTGTCCACGGCTGTGAAGATTGCTGGCTTCAGTCCTGCCCCTATTTTTAACAAGCAACAGCAGAAGCAGAACTCAGTTGGGTTTAGCAAGAACCAAATGAGCACAGGATTAAGCTCTGCAATAGCAAGGCAGAGCTGCTGCTGGGTGTGTAGCAGGCACACATGAAAAACTGATTTCCTAGATTGCTGGCAGGTCCTGAGATGAAAGGAAATGAACTGGATCGGGTGGATATAAGTTCAGGGTCAAACTAAGCTGCTAATTTCAGACTTGAGAGTTGTTTTGGTGGTAAAGGCTTTGTTGTAAATTAGAAACAACTCTGAAAGGTCTGTTTAGAAACTGGCAAAACAAAAGGGGAAAGCAGGCAGAACAGTGGGAGGGGGGCTTCCTCCCTCCAATCCTGTAAGCGCGGGCAAGGTCACCAAAGAAATCCTCCAGTTTTGACCCCAAAAAAGCTTTAGTCGGAAACCCGGCAGGAAGGATTGGTCAGACACACCGCTGGTCTCCAGGGTGACACCACCAGGGATGGCCCCATGGTCCCTGCCTCAGTTTCCCCAGTTTCAAAAACTCCTTTCCCTCCCCGGGCTGCCTTTATATTAAGGGCTGCAAAAGCAAAAGCTTTGGGGGAAAATGCTTTGCAGCATTAATGATTGTGGAGGGTAGGGAGAGAGGAAGGCTCCAACACCTGGATCTGGCCCAAGACAGTTACACACTCTCACAATATCCGACTGGAAACTGCAGGCGGGTTCTTTAGTGACACGTTCCAGCACTCGCCAGCAGTGCAACAGCTGGGAGCACAAGGGGTCCAATGCTACAGGCAATCCCCAGGGTGACTCTAGCTCCTACTGCTTGGGGAACAGGCTGAGGAGGGAGAGTGCATATCCAGGCAGCTCCAGGCACCATAGAGCAAACATAGGTTAAATGTAAACATAACCTAAATGTAGGTTAAATTCTACCAGCTCTGCACATCCCCCTTGGGCTTCCCTGGGGCATCTTGCCTTCAGCCACCCAGAGTCTACTTCTGCTTCCCTGCTTTAGGGGAATCCCATCTCCCCACCACAGGCAGTGTAAAAGTCCCCACCTGTTCTGTCCCGGGCAGAAGAGCAAGGCAGGCATCAGCTCAGCCACTGTCTGCCAGAGCCCTGAAACAGCCAGCCAGCCTCCAGATGGACAGTCTGACCAGAAACCAGCTGGTCCTAGGGCTCAGCTGGCTTTTTGCTGCTCTAGGAAGCGTTACTGTCTGGCTGCTGACTTGACAGTCCTGTCTCTGAGATTCCCTTCAAGCCCCAGAGAAGTCCTGTTGCAAAGTTTGGTATTCAATTTGTCCTAGAGCATCTTTGCAACCAGGGCTTCTTCCTAGTGGGTTTGTGCCCCACAGAACAAGGGTACTTCTCCTGAGCAACCCTTGAACTGCAGCCACCCCAGCCCCAGTCCAGGCAGGGGCTGTGGGCGCACAGTGCTCCCTGGGAAGGAAACGTATCCCCTCTTTACGAGCTTTTGCGATAGCCACGTCTGGTTTTAATTGTCTAAGGAAGGAGGGCTGCAGAAGGAGGATACTAGTGAGCACAGTCTCGGGGTGCTGGCCCTGCTCCCTCTGTGCTTCCTGCTGGAGCCAAGCCCCAGCTGGGCTGGCCGTGAGAAACGGGGTTATTGGCTGCCGATCCCAAATATAACCCAAACGATGGAAAATTCCAGGAAACGAGCCAAGATGCTGGGAGGGGGATCAAGGCTTAGCACACGGGCGGGCTGGGGGAGCTGCAAAGAAGCCCGGAGCTCTCAGCAGCATCTCGCTGCGGCCAAACCCTCCTTGTGCAAACCCTCCTGGTGCCACGGAGACTGACGAGAGGTGTGAGCATCCTCTGAGGCAGCCCCGAGCACCTGTCTCTGGAGCAGCCACCTCCGGAGCAGCAGCAGAACTCACCCCCCTGTGCCCTGGCTGGGGGCAGCTGCCAGTGGGAAGCCGTGTTGGTGCTTCCCCCGGTGCTCGGAAATCCCCAGCTCGTGCAAAACGGACCCAGCATGACTTCCAGGAACTGGACTGCGCACACCTTGGCTTGCTCCCCAGCTGGCCCCCTGCTCTGTCCCACTCCTTGCCCTGTCTCCCTGTCACACCACCAGCAAAGCAGAAGCTCCCTGAGGAGCACAGCCTGGCCCAAAGGCATTGGAAAAGTTTTTCCTGAATCACCCAAGATGCCTCCAAGCAGAAAACCAAAGCCCCAACTCTCCAGGCTAGAGGCAGCATGTTCAGTCCATTTTGGGGGTGATACCTGATGGGGCTGGGGGCTCTTTGATGGTACCTCATTCCTGGGAGCTGGGATCTCGCTGCTGCCACCAGTGACTTGCTGGGAGCCCTGCAAAGAAGTGTCCAACGGCTTCCACTATGCCCGACTGCTCTGGTTCAGTCCCAAGGGTGATTACTCTGCCGTCAGAGCCGTAATCCCAAGCACCGGGAGCTCCAGGCCTCTGAGCTCAAGGAAGAAGATGAGAGAAGATAAACCAGCTGCTGAAAACCCATCTCCACTGCTCGTTCTCACTCAGTTCCACCCCACACCGCCCACAACTCTCTTCCCTCCCTCCAACACCAGCAAAGCCGCTGCTGGGACTGTCCCACCCGGGAAACGGGTGTCTGCCCACACTGTGTTCTGCCTTTCCCTGCGGGTCCCCCCCTCCCTTCCCCTGCGCACCGCAGGCCATCTGCAGTAATCCCTGCCCTGCCGCCACCGGCTCCCAGACCCTCATGCATCCCCGGAACAGGCTCCCTTGGTATTTGCACCCTGGCAGCTGAGCCGAGACATGCTGGAGGAAGGGAAAGAGCCCCCTGCAGGAGTCCGTGCCCCGACTGAGTGAAGGATTGCTCCTTCCCAGGCTAACCCAAGCTAGGTCTTGCTCAACCCATGATGAAAAGCACTCCAGAAGCATCCTCAGGGGTGCGGCACTGGCTTTTTCTATCCCCAGGACTCACCTCATTCCCCTGCACGCCCAGCTTCCAGCCCCAAATCCCTCTGTAGCACTTTCTGCTCTTATTGAAGAAAAAATAAAAACAGAAAAAAGCCCAAGCGAGGCTCCCTGTTGGGACTGTCGACAGCTGGGGGATCACAGCGGCAGAGAGAGCTGCTGCGCTCTGGCGCTTACTGGGGTTTCGTTAGAGAAACTCAGAGCTGAGGGTTTTTCTCCGGCCGGTGATGTCACATCCTGACCCTGCCCGCAGCTCCAGCTGTCCCTGTAAAACCCGCGGGGAAGCCGGCCTGCGAGCCCCCACGCCACGACAGGCACCCATGCTCACGGGCAGGCACCCACACCCACTCCCACACACCATTCCTGAATGTTGAAGTCCTTTTTGGTGTGCAGTCCCACGCCGCTGTCTGGCTCCAGACTTTCACAGGACAGCAACACGCTGAAAGGAGATGAAATCCTGCAGTACTTTCCCCCCCCGCCTTCTTTTGCACAGTCCCTCTCCCTTCATGCTTCCCCCTCTGCACACACACAAAAATCAGCCGGAGGTTTCAGTGCCAGGCCAAGCTGGAGGCCATCCAAAACGGAAAATCCAAAGAGAGGAAAAAGAAGAAACCAGAAAAACTTTTTGCTGCACAGAGCAGACTTACTTTCTGTCGGTCTCGGAGGTGGGGTGAGTTCTGAAGCGCGTTGTGGTATTTAAATACCGCTCGGTAAAAGCAAGCCTGTGCCAGCACGCTCAGCGCCGAGGGGAGCAGCCAGCCAGCGTGGGATGGCTCAGCACGGGCCGGGACTCTGCTTTGGGATCAGACTCCTGGGTGGGGATGTAAAACTGGTGGTGTACCCCACGTGTGATGCTTACAGGCGTTGCAGTGGGGTGGGAGGCTGCAGTGTGGCCCTGGCACTCACGGTCCCCTTCTGGACACGGTGGCGTGTCTTTCCCAGGGGAGCAGCTCAGCTCAGCCGCGGCGAGATGAGATGCTAGCGTTGTTGGAAATGTCTGCAAATTGTTTGGCACCGGGACAGCTCTAGTGAGGGAAACGTTTCTAGGCTTTCCTTTAATGTGTGTTAAGCTCAAGTTCAGCCAAGCATTTGCAGGTGATGGGGCGAGCTGGGGACTAGGGCGCAGGGCGAGGCAGGGGTAAGGAGCAGCAGGAGTGTGAGAAAGGAAACCACAAACCCAGCAACCTGAGACAGTGGGAAGATCCGGCCCTTGGGTACGTTTGTATGAAGCAGGAGGGTTTAGGATGAGGGTTTGCATGGCTTCCCCTGCTGCTGCAGCCATGGATTTACCTTCTGACCCCACACAGACTGTGCATCCAGTAGGACACATCTCTGCAGGGTCTGGACTCCTTCCCCCGTAATGAGGCTCCTCAGCTGCAGGTGGTGCCAGGGTTTGCCCCTGAGGCACAATGTTCAGCCCATTCAGTACCACAGCTGTAACCCCAAAACCTCGGCTCTGTGCATCCATCCACCCCAGGACCCGTGGGCTGAGCCTTTTCCACATCAGCCTTGCAACACTTCTGAGCAAATCTCTTCTGGTCATTGCAGATTGTCTCAGGTCAAAGTAACACCCCTAAAATCATGATCTGGCTCAAGTAGCCCAGAAGACTTCCTGGCTGCTGGCAAACCAGCCCTGAGCCTGGCTCCAGCAGGTTCAGGCAGCAACAGCAGCTCCACAGAGTCTTTTTTCAGCACCTGGGGGATCATCCCCAATGCTGGATGCTCCCTGTTTGCACATCACAGCCACCCCAAGTGCTAGCAAGGGCAGAGCAATGCTGCTGCCCTCCACCCCAGGGAGCTGGTGGGCACCAGTGTCCGCGCTCCTTCCCAAGGGATGTGGGAAACCACACAGTGTCCTCTGACTTCGTGAGCAGGAGGCGGAGGTCTGCGGAGCAGATGTAACTCCGGACTGCTAATGCCAAGACAGGAGGAATCTTTCAGCTGAAACCCAGCAAAAAATGGGCACAAATCCAAAATTGAGGGGGCCTAGCCGTTTAGCAAAGATCCTGGAGGAAACTCATGGCCAGGATTTATATCCAGGCAAGATGGAGCCAAAACACTTAAGAGGCAAGATGGGGTCCTCCCGCTCTCAGCAGTCTGGAGCCAAAGGATAGGGGCCAGGAAAACAGCACAAGGGCTGAAGTTGCATCAGCCCCTGTCCCACAAGTCCGCAGGGGTGAGCAGCACCTCCTGGTCAAGGAGTTAAACCCCTTGCATGAGGTTTTGGAAACCTCACAGAGCAGAATGCCTGCGGTCCCAGAGCCACCCAAAGTCCCAGCTGCAGGGAGGGACAACAGGAGTCACTTGGGAGAGAGGAAAAGGTCCGAGGAGCAGGTTCGGGGCAGGAGGGATGTGTTATTGTGAAGAGGGTATTTGTCTGCCCTGGAGGAAGGAAGGGGGGGAGGGATTGGCCCCGCTCCCGAAGGCAGGTGCATTGCTGAATTTATCAGCAGGAAGGAAGCAAGCCCAGAGCGCTGGAGGGCTCCATCGGACCTCATGGGCAGTCACGGAAAGAGGCCCACCACAGTGATGCAGCTTCACACGGCTTGGGAGGACACAGCCGTGCCTGGGGCGTGGGTGCAGTGAGCCCCCCGCCAGCTGCGGCAGGGCTGGGCTCTCCTTGGCCCCGCGCTGCCCTGCACAGTGCGCGCCCCTTCGGCACCGCACCCCTTCGGCCAGGGAGATGCTTGTTGCCAGGCAGAGCTTGCAGGCTTTGTGTGCCTGTGCAGACCACAAGACACAGCAAAGGAAGCAATGAGGTTGCTCCAGTTATTCCCAGAGAGACAAAGGACTTGCCCAGAAAAGTTTACCTCGGCTATACAGTGCCAGGAACAGCCAGTTCCTCCTCTCCACTCCGAGTCCTACGCAAGCACCAAGACAGGGAGCGAGAACTTCCTCAGCTGTGGATCAGAGGGCACTGGAGTCTTGCCATTTTCTAAGGCACAGGGAAAAAAAACAGGCACAGATGAAAAAGCGCTGGAGTCAGCATTTTAAGTGAGGGTAAGAACATCATCCTTCAATCTTCACTTCCTTGATTGCTGCGACAGCCGCCTTTGACAAGCCAGGGTGTCTCCCTGCGGAGCAGGATGGGCTCTGGGCTTCGTGCTGATGTGGGGGTACATCTCCCTGGGGCGACAGGGCTGGGTGGGCAAGCCACGGATTTGAGACGCTGATAATGAAGAGCCTCTGGCTGTAAAACTTGCTTCACTGCTCTCCAGCAGGAACTGCCACCCACATCCCTGGCCCGGGCTCTCCTCCAGCTGGAGGCAGACCGCAGGCAGCACTGAGGGAAGGAGATGGCTCCTACAGCCCCTGGTTCAGCTGTGAAGTCCTTGCTGCAGGGGCTGAACCCTACAGAGGACCATGAGGAGACTTGGGCTTCTCCCCCATGAACGTGCCCACTGTGAGGGCTGCTAAAGACAGACGCTCAGGAAGACCCTGGCCCACAGCTGGAAATCAGCAAAGTGACCTGGAAAACTAGTGCAGGATGTTTGCCCTTCCCCGAGGCAGTTCATCTAGGATTTAGGACGCCGGGCTAGGGGAATCGTTGGTCTAACTCAGCGTAGCCCACCGCATTATCGACCATATCTGGGCATCTGGGCATCTAAATGGTTTCTAGCACAGATCTCACCCAAGCTCACAAAGCTGAGCTGACAGGCTCATGCAAGCCCCATGTTTGCCGGTAGCTCGGAATAAGGAGACAAACCTTCCCTCTAGTGGCTGCATGGCACAGAATCTGTTACCTTCTCTCCCCACGCCAAGACTAACGTGTTATTTTCACCAGCCTTTAGGCTCAACACAGATCCTAAATGCATCAAATCTAACAAACCCCATGCAAGTTTTTAGTGGCTTAAAACTGGCACAGCTGCCAATTTGCACAAACCCGCAGATAGTGTGGGTTTGTGCAATGTCTGTGTCTGTGCTGCCGCTTGTAGATGCCCATCCCCGTGGCCAGCATAACGTATTATGACATGCGCTTCAGTGAATACACCCGCAGAAAAATCCCTTGCTCCCTCCATCAGTCAATTCCACCTCTGCCAGGGCCAGAAAATACAGTCTCTTGCAAAACGGCTGCAGGTGGTATGATCAACTTGACCTTTTCAGTTTGGGTCTTACTTAAAAACCGTTCCAATGCATACAATGCAAGAAATGTTTCCTTTTCTTGACTTTGCCATTTCTGTCAGCCAGAAACCCTTGAAGACGTTCTTAGTTTGGGATTAAGCACATGATGGGTTGAAAAAACCCACTCAAAATTACAGGTAGTGATTGCTACAGACTTCACTAAAGACTTTGGTCTTTTAAACTCAGAAAAAGGCTCAGGTGTAGATCTGGAAGCCTTGAATTTCACTCCTGTTGCCCATTACTCATCCAGGGATGTTATATTACAGCTATATTAAAAATGAATACAGCAACTTTGACATCTTCAAAGCAGGAAGTGAATAATGAATCAAAACTGCCCTTATTTCAGCTAAAGGAAAATGATAAATGGAGTGTGAATGCTATAGAAGTAGAAAGGCTCTTTAGGTGCTTTGCTGTTCAGATTGTTAACAGCCCTATCCTCAACTCCTCTGATTATACCACTGCTATGCACACGCTCACAGGCCCAACACAATCAGAAAGAGAAAGACATTACCAGGGAGAAAGACCATCTTCTTGCAGCAAAGCCCCAGGAGATGTGCCACTCCTAAAACCATAACTCCCTGAATGCACAAGAGTTCATACCCAACGTATGTGACTCACTGCTAAAATAGACCCCAACAACAAAACCTTACCATCTACTGTCAGTGCTTCGCTGAACACTGCTCACATCCAAAGAATGGGCTGAGAAAGTATGGAGTGACACTACTACAGCAACAGGGTCCTACAATTACACTAGCAAACAGATTAAGATCCCTTTATAAGTAATCAAACCTTCTGTATCATGTCATGGTTAAGGGTAGCACAGAAAGTCTGTTACCAGCCCCACACAAAAAATTTGTCTTCCTCTGACAGCGAGACAAGTTGATCTTCTGATCTGAAGAATATCCTTCTTGCCTCCGTTTCTTTGGCAAAGGAAGGAATGCTTGCCAGCTCCAGCAGGCTGATGGGAAGACATGATGTGACCCCAACTCAACGTTCAATTAGTTCTAAGGGCAAGTTAGTGCCAAGGATTTGATGTGGACATGGGAAAGCATTTAGTGTTTCTCCTGGGAAGTTCCAGGCTGTCCTCTGTTTACTTGTCTGCCTGTGCAGTGGTGTGTGCTGGCAGCCCACGCACAGGCTGCACATCGCACTGCTGCAGCATGCCCTTGTCCACAGACATGCTGGCTGCCTCTGCTGGGAATGAAAACAAGAAAAGCTCAAAGCCTGAATGCTCTGGGATTCTTTGGTTGAAGGCAGGTTTAAAAAGCTAAACCAGCTGTAGTCATTAAAAGCCAGATTCCTACCACCACTACCATATTAAAGCAGCTATGCATATTCATAGCAACACATTTTTTTTCATAAATTGTCACTTAGCAATTGAGAAGTCAGTTGGGGGCTCATGCTCTGTTACTATGCCAGACCATCTTGCTTTTTTTATGAATAGTGCCTTTTCTGAAACAGGAACAAGAACTATTTTCTGTCTCTTCAAATTATCATTT